CAGTAGAACTGTGTATATGGACAGTCCTCTGCAGCAGGCACGATGGTTTTCACAGGTTTGGCAACAATGCGTCTTGAGGGACTATCAGTGGCTCCGGATGTGGGAGTTTGGGCTGCCATGATTGCAATTAATGTGTGCCGTTAAAGGCAACTTGCAGGGGCAATTTCAATGTTCTCAAGATAGTATGAGATATGCACTGACACTGCACAAGAACAGTCTTTTGGTTAACTGATGTGTCTCTTGCTAATTCACTTGTCTCTGAACCTGCATACTACATTCAGGCTTTCTGAAGCATACTCACTACTTTCAAAACCAGCTCTGTACTGGCACTTTTTTAAAGAAAGGCTTCAGTTAAGAATCTATAACCATATCCTTGGAGCATATTCTAAAACTAGAGCACACAATGACAAGTTTTTACAAACTCATAAAAACAGCCAACATCTCAGGCACAAATTGAAAACACATTTTTGACTATTCTGGAATATGGTTGTCTGCAGTAACAAAATGAACAACCAAGTTCGTTTGTGTTCTAATCTGCCCAGGTAATGCCACTGACTTGAAAAGGGGATCAAATAAATTCAGAATGTCCTTTCCCTTCACTGATTCTTACAAAAAGTTGGTCTTAAAACAAAGGCAGAAATGGCAAAAATATACCTACTTTGATTGTCTCTGCCATCCTGCCTCCCAAAAGGTTTCTTTGTGACATAAAAGAAAAATATAAAAGCTGAAGTTTATACATATTAATATCATTCAATGTAACCAAGAATGACAATTCTATAACTGCAGTTTAAATAAAGAGAAAGAAAGAAAAAAACATTAAATAGGAAACACGTATTTCCCCTGCTTTTTAAAATGCGCTTTACTTCCTTCCCTACCTGATTCACATCGGTATCTGCTAAACAAAAAATAATCCAAAGACATTGACTCTTATGAAAAAAGACAAAGGGCAAACACAGTATTCAGCACTTGCTTTGCAGCAAGCTACCAAGCTCTTTTCCTAGGAACAAACTCAGTACTTTAGTATCAAGTCGGCATAGTTTCAAACTGTGTAAATACTTATTACTTTGATTCATTTTTTGCATCCTCTGGAAAAATGTATCCAAAACTATGAAAAGAGTCTAACAGGGTTTACAAGAGGACTATGCTTAATGCAAAACAAGAAGTAGCTGTTCTAATTATGAATTAAATTATGTATGTGTTGAACTTGCCTCCATCTATCTACCATTCATGTCATTTATACAAAGACACTGAGTATCTTTAAAGCTGCCAAAATCATTGTCTTGAAGTTGATATCTTTTGTGTGTCCAATCTTAAGAAAGTAAAAATGGCAACTCACCCGAGACTCTTAACAACTCTTAATTAGCTGATAATACTCAAGGTAACATATTAATTGTGTTGAATTAAATTTGCTGCCTTCATGTCACTTTATCATTTCTTCTCAGAAGGGACTACAAATTTGAGAGCTCCATCTTTTTTTATTTTTCATTTTATTCTGAAATAGACTGATCAAAGTAAAAGTGTGGTGTTCAAATATATATATATATATATATATATATATATATATATATATATATATATATATATATATATATATATATATACTCGAACCCTAAAGGATAGGAAAGTTCAGAGATATGCATGTGTAAAAAGGATGGAAAAAAAGTGAGTCAAACCTGTGATACACCAAAGAAAAAATTTCCCAGCAAATTGATTTTTGTGATTCATTACTGTGTATCATATATACTTAATTACAAGCATGAAATTAAAAAAATATATATACTGTGTAATTCCCACATCATTCCATTCAGTGTTTATATTACGTTAGTATTATTTGAGGCTTTACGAATGATTTGTTAGATGCTTACAAAATCAGCTTTTAGACCAACAAAATTAATACATGTATATATCACAAAGATTCTATATTTCTACTTAACTTGACCACACTAAATAAGGCATTTGGGAAAGTTATGTAGCAATACCTATAATGAACTTATCAACAAATACTGTAGAATGAGATTAATCTAATTTTGCTAAATGAACTAGGAATTAAAGAGAAGAATATTGTAGCTTGGATCCTTGAATACGACAGAGCAGAATTTCTAAATTCAATTTCATGGAATTAAACGTTTATTTAGTGTTTATATACACGCACATAGTATTTATAGATATATACATATTAAAACTGTTACTTTCTTCCTTTCTCTTGCTCTGCTCTTCTCTCTCTCCTCTCTCTCTCTCTCTCTCTCTCTCTCTCTCTCTCTCTCTCTCTCTCTCTCTCTCTCTCTCTCTCTCTCTCATCTCTCTCTCTCTCTCTCTCTCTCTCTCTCCTCTCTCTCTCTCCTCTCTCTCTCTCTCTCCTCTCTCTCTCTCTCTCTCTCTCTCTGCTCTCTCTCTCTCTCTCTCTCTCCTCTCTCTCTCTCTCTCTCTCTCTCTCTCCTCTCTCTCCTCTTCTTCTTCTCTGCAACATCAAAAAAACAACGTAACAGCTCCCTATAAGGCTTCCAAAGCCAACTAAACTTCATTACTAGAATCAAAGCTG